TTTATGACTCTCACTTCCTGCATTAACTACAAAGTAACCTTTTGTTGATTCTCTGTTGGGATTTTTATGATTCAGGCTTCTATAGTAAGACTAGGCCAGTGGCCAGCTTGCGTACTAGAGGCCTAGGACAATAAGTAGGGAATGATTGTTGGGAATGATTATTGCAATGGTCAGGTAATTTTGCTTTGCATTAGCTAAGAATCTGACCATGTACAAAAAGCAAGTAAGAAAATGTAGCTGCATTGCATATGTAATTTTGTATATCCTGTTCCAAACCACATAATGTTTCCTTGCCTTGCTGTATCTGAACATCTNTTAACCAATTATATGCTAAGACATAACTGCATGGTAACCCATTTAGTTTTCTGCCCTGCAACAAGTATGTAACCAATTATATGATAGCATGTACTTAATTGACTGCACATGTAACCAATCATGTAACAAGCATGTACTTCCTCATATAAGCAAATAAATGAGGAACTCAGAACACACTCTGAGTCACTCACCTCGAGGAAATTCTTGCATGTCTCTTCCTTTTCTGGCTTGTCGTCGCTTGCCAGGATTTATGGGTGGCCCATATAAAACCAATTCTTACTCTATTCTGGATTCTGTCATACTATGAAAGGGGAGGAGGGTAAGCATGGAAGCTTTATGACTCTCACTTCCTGCATTAACTACAAAGTAACCTTTTGTTGATTCTCTTCGAGAGTACTGACCATAACAATGTGGCCATCTGCCTTTCATCCTACTCCCTCTAAATTTCTCCCCTTTGCCGGCAGCGAGGGAAAATGGGGGGGGGGGAATGCAACGTCTGGGATCTGGATAAAGACAGAATGAGTGATCGTGCTGACAGAGCGGACTGACGATATATTTCCTGGACTTAACACCTAGAAATCTGCCAAATTGAATCGCCCGGAAGAACTGTGGGGTGGGGCTGCTTGGGAACACTTTAAAACATTGAATGGTGGGGGGATCCCCCAGATCGTGTCTAGCATGCCTGCAATCAATTTCTCTTAATAAAAATTCCTGTTGGAAGAGACATTCCAAGAGTTCTGTTTTCTTAAGATGTAAATTGAGGTGGGTCCTTACACCATATATGTTAATCAAAAGGAAGTATCTTGTTAGGCAGTTTGAATACAGTATCCTACTGCAAGGATCTTTAAATATTTTTGGCAGGTAGAGACATTGGTAAATTAGATAGGGTATTATGTGAATGCTCACAAATAATAACCAAAAGGCTTATTCACACAGTATTTTTGCTAGAGGGCATGGCTAGTCACAGAACATCCATGTAAGAGAGTAGAAGATTCCATTTTAGCTTCTCAGATTAGTTTCTACTTCTGTTTGCTTTCTTTTTCCTGGCAGGGAGAATGCATGCAAAAGAGAGTACTGGACTGCAGACCCCTATCGTTTTTTTTTACTTTCTAAATAATGCTTCTAGGATATCTATTGAGCAAACATCTGTGGAAATGATAATTACTCTATGCCTAAGGCTGACACTTTGCTTTTCAGTAAACTAGCTTCTGTTTTTCTTTAAAGTAAAAGATCAAGTGGAAAATAAAGTCTGTTGGGTATGAAAGGAATTGTCCACAGGGACACTATAATCCATGAGGATTCAAACTTCACAGAATATCATCCACGCATAGGATATGACTGCACATCATAGAGCATTGCATAGTTTAGATCAGGGCTTTTCAACCGGTGGTATGTGTACCATTGGTGGTACTTTGGCACCTGGCAGGTGGTATGTGATCTAGATAAGTGTAGCGGGGGGGTGAGTTGAAGCGGCGGCATTGCTGATCAGCTGAAGTGGCAGCGCTGCATAGTCAGCTGGAGCTGCAGTGTTGCTGGGGCTCTGCTGAGGGCCCAGGATCGGTGTGTGTGTGACTCCAGCTGATTGGGGCTTCCAGCAGCCTCAGGTGGCCAACAGCCGCACACAGTCTTCGGGCAGAGAGTCAGCTGGAGCTGTGGTGTTGCTGGAGTTGTGCTGAGGGCCTATAATTGGCATGCATGGCTCCAATTAATCAGGGTTTCCGGTGGCCTCTGTATCACCGGGAGCAGCAGAAAGGCCTTGGAACAAGAAAGCTGGAGCTGCAGGGCTGCCAGAGCTTGGCAGACGCCCCAGGATCGGCGCGCACAGCTCCAGCTGATCAGTGCGGTGTGCAATGGCCAGCCGGGGAGTGGGTGACCGCATGGAGAAGTGAGACTGGGTAGCGACCAACACTGGAGCTCTCCCTGAGCCCCAGAGAGTGGCGTCCCTGGAAGAAAAAAGGAGGGGCGAGAAAGGAGAGGCTATAAAAGGTTTTGGCGGGAGAGAGAGAAAAAAAATGATGGAAAGAGAAGGGGACAGAGAAAGAGAGGGAGGAGAGGCTTCTGTGAGACAAGCAGAGGGATCAACGAAGGAGGAGAGGCTGTGAAAGAGAGGGAGTGGAAAGGGAGAGAAGAAGGGCCGGCCAGCCACCTGACCACCAAGGTAGTGGTGCATATTAATAAATATGGATAAATTTGTCATACATTTGTCAGCGCAAAGGGAAAGTGATTCAGCAAAGAAACTGCCACCAAAGAAATTAAAACTGGTACTTTTTTCCTTTCTTTTTTGGTCAGCAAGTTTTTGACATCTTGCTAAGCACGGATGGTTCTCGAATATTGTCATGTCTTAAAAGTGGTACAATCTGTGAAAAGGTTGAAAAGCACTGGTTTAGATAAATGACCAAATTTAAATTCAGAATAGAGCTGGAAGGGAAGCTTGAAGGTCTTCTAGTCCAGTCCCCTGCTCAAGCAGGAGACCCTATACAATTTCAGACAGGTGATTGTCCAGTCTCTTAAAAACCTCCAGTGCTGAAGCATCCACAACTTCTGAAGGCAAACTGTTCCACTGATTAATTGTTCTCACTGTTAGGAAGTTTCTCCTTAATTCTAGGTTGCTTCTCTCCTTGATTTGTTTCCATCCATTGTTTCTTGTCCTGTCCTCTGGTACTTTGGAAAATAAGTTGACCCCCCTCTTCTTTGTGGCAGCCCCTCAAACACTGGAACACCACTATCATGTCACCCTAGTCCTTTGCATTTAATTAATTAAAAGAAAAAATAAAGACAATTAAAAGATAAAATCAATTAAGACAGAGCAAAAGATACTACTTACCCAACTCTGAGAATGATTGCTATTATAACAAGTAACCTAGTATGGTATATCTCTAAAAATTGGAGTAATACAAACAGTTTAAAAACAAAACTGTCTTAATTAAAATGGTTGAGTCAAGGATGGGTAACCGTTTAGTGACTAGGTCACCCAACTTTCATAGGTAAGTGAAGGTCAGATCATAGCTGGCCTTTTGTATTTTCTCCTCAATTCTGAAGGGTGAAACTGTAAAAAAACAAATTCACTGTATTAATTCTTTTTTATAATATAGCTGCAGTCTTTACCTCTTTCAGCTTTAAGGTAGTGGGAAATGGTGTCATTGTGGTCAGAAGGGGGTTCAGTAGCCAGAGAGATAACTCATACATTATATACAGACTTTAGGTTGTTGTCCTTGTGTTAGATGAAGAATTTGGGCTATTTGGATTTACTATGTTTGCCTTTCATTGCTACCAGAATTCTGGATTCTTTATAACCATGGAAAGCAAATGTATACTGCGGCCAGGACTGTACATTACATTATGCATACACAAAGCTATTATTCATCCCACATTTTTAAATTTTATGGGGTCATAGTGCAGACCTAGTATGTTGTAGTAACTTGAACTGAATTGTGATTTTATCTGCTGGAACAAATGGACTTTGAAATCCCTGTCATCGGTTAGTCTATGTCCCTGTGAGTTGTCATCCAGCATGTCAGTTTTCTTCTTTGAAAGTACCACAGTTGGAACTTTACAAATACAGCCTCTGATAAGATATCTGGCAGCTGATATTTTCCATTTAAGTTAAATTCAAACCAAGCTTTATCCTCAGTTCTCCAGAGCACTGAAAAACTTCAGTAGTAGTTGCTGTCGAATGACATAGTAGTTTAAGCCCTTTGTTTGAGATGGAAGATCAGAGAGGATCCTTGTTGCCTCTGTTCAGCAATAAACTGAAAAACATCAGCCTTATTTTTTCCCCAGACCTTTCACAACTCGCATACTTAGATTCAAAGTTCCTAATGAAAGGAATCCCATTAATAACAGTAGATCTGACATTTCCCACAGCATATATTCTCTTTTGAAATTTCTGATGTAAATTCATAATAAGTAATTCCGAAGTAAATATTATACTTTCTATAAATTGTAGCCTCCATAGCACACATATTTATGCAAAGATTATCTTCATTATTCTAAAGCTCACTCAGTAAATATTCTGATTGCTGCAGGACAGGATTTAACACAAAGCAGTTTGTCCAGGTAGAAGTATATTCCATTCCAAAATATCCAACTGGAGCCTTCTTTTTTGAGAACTGTTACAGAGTGCTGAATGCTTTGAACTACTTTGATACAGCCTGAAACCCGGTTCAAATATTTTGACAACCTCATCCTCAAATCTCATTTACTGGATCCTCACTGACTCCCTCCCTCCCTTCCTCACCCAAATAGCAGCTACAATCCATGTTTTGTATATGTCTGCAATCCTCAGTCAGATATAGAATACTATAGTACCTTTTGAGGTATGATACTTTTTTATGCAAAGCCTTAAGAGAAAGTTGGTTCCAATTTGGAGTCATCACCGAATGCCCATCTTCCTAGATGCAGTTCTATTGGGCGAGTTTGGGTTTGGCGGTTCTCTATAATATTCAATAAAATGTACATCCAAGGAAGTGTGTATCCAGGTCCATCAAGCCTCACAACATGCAATCCCACAACATGCAATCCCTTTTGTATTCAAATATGTTTAGAACCCTCTCCAGGTGACACAACTTCTATATTGGATCGCGAAAAGGACTTGCGAGCAGCAAATCCAGTAATATTTTTTGGTCTATAAATTGGCCAGCAGAGGGCAACACGAATCCAATTTCTATTCCTCAGTCGGATGTGTCGTCACAGCAGAATTTCCTTTTCCGACATACACTATTCTAGCCGAGGTAAGAGAGGTTTTTATTATTATTTATTGATTTATTTAAGAAGCTTTTTTTTCTGTTCTGGTTCGTTACTGTAGCTGGAATCTCCAGTTTTGACTACAGAAAAATGACAGCATAGTCATTTCAACTTGGAGGCAATGAAAGTGCATTTGTTCAGAAAGTAAAATCAATACAGGGGCAGCAGGGACGCGACTCCAGTCAGGAAGCTAGAATGAAACTTTCCACCAGAACAGCCCCCCTTTATACATGGTTTCCCATCAACATGATTGCAGTCTTAGGATTGCCTCTCAAACGCAAATTATGCCTTACATTGGCACTGCAGTATTCATTGTGTATCATCAGAGAATTTTGCTGCACAAATTAATTTTGTAAGTGTTTACGGAATGGCGCCTAGTAAGAAACCCTCCACTCAAATATTTCTATGTAGAAGGAACTGCTTTTATCACAGTTGCAGGTTTGCGGAAAAATGATGGCAAGAAGCTGTAGAATTTGACTACCAGGAAGAGCAACTTGCTAAAATTATTACATTTATCACCATTATTAGTTGCACAAAGGAGCATGGTAGTTCTAAAATAGCCTTCCTTAATCTAGTATTCTTAAGGTGAATTGGACCACAGATTCCTTAGATACAATGAATAGGTTGGGAACAACTGTTCATAAAATGGAAACACATGAGTAAGAGATGCAGTCTCTGTGCACTAATTACCAATGTTACAAACATTGATAGTAGTTGTCAGGAATTTTTCATAGTCATAAAATATCACAATTACAAATAAGGCTGCTGTGTAGCAGTAAAGCTTGTCTCTTCTCTCTTCTTTCTAGCCCTCTCAATGTAGCATAGAAAGATATAAGCCCTTTTGATTTCTCTAATTCCAAAGAGCCCTGCATTTTTTCTTTCTTTCTGACCTGCCTTATGAGTGCCAAGTGATATAATCTAACCATCAACCCTTAGTGAAATTTTTTTTTATTGATTAAATTGTTGGAAATTGTTTATATAGGTGGAGAGTAATTATCTACCACTGGTAAATTATGTTATTTTGTTTCTAGATGATATGAACATCATAGCATGATATTGTGAAGAAGTATGAGGCAATGGCAAGAAATATACTCTGTGTCCAACTGGAACATACCATAAGGCAACGTTGGCAGAAAGTGTTGTACAAAAGGCAGTCATTTCCTGATAACTATGTGGATCAAAGTTTCTTAGAGAAGTTGCGCAAGAATATCCATGCTCGCAAGTATCATTATTGGGCAGTGGTGTTTGAATCTGGAGTGGTGATACAACAATTATGTAACGTCTGTGTCTTTGTTGTCATCTGGTGGTACATGGATATGGGCCTGTTGGCTCCCCAGTGGCTATTTGGAGCTGGCTTGATTGCCTCGCTGATTGGTTATGTACTCTTTGATGCCATTGATTCAGGATTAGAAAGAAATCAAAGCGGTCAGACACGATGGGGAGATCTGAAGAATTCTGTGGTATTTGTGGCATTCACCTATGGCTTCTCTCCTATCCTGAAGACCTTAACTGAGTCCATCAGCACTGATACAATTTATGCTATGTCTGCTCTAATGCTCCTAGGACATTTGATCTTTTATGATTATGGGGCAAATGCAGCTATTGTGTCCAGTACCTTGTCCCTCAACATGGCTTTCTTTGCTTCAGTCTGCTTAGCCTCACGGTTGCCACGGTCCTTACATGCCTTTGTTATGGTGACATTTGCTATCCAGATATTTGCCCTATGGCCTATGCTACAGAAGAAGCTCAAAGCTCAAACCCCCCATTGTTACATGATAGCTACCTTACTCTTTGCTTTATCTACCTTAATGGGACTACTAACCATTTCAAGTGTTGGCACTATTCTTTTTGTTCTCCTTTTGATTGCCATCTCATGTCTATGCCCTTACTGCCTCATTAGGCTGCAACTCTTCAAAGACAATATCCATGGGCCTTGGGATGAAGCTGAAATCAAGGAAGATCTGTCCAAGTTCCTTATGTAGACCAGGAGTCCACACTTTGGGGTTCAATTCTTCCAATTATCCTAGTCCCAGCTAATAAATGCTTATTAACTAAAGCAATTAAAGCAAGCAGAAATGAAATACCTTTGAAAATGCCTGAGAACAATTTATTTACAACCTGATTTTTTTATCAACCACATTGTGTATTTATTTCAGTTGAGCTAATAGATGTAAAACTAATGCAGGCAGTCCTCATTTAGTGACTGCCTCATTTAGCAACTATTCAAAATTATGATGGTGATGACAAACTAAATTTATAATCAATCCTCACATATATAATGCTTGTAGTTCTGTAAAGCAAAGAAAAGCTGAACTAAGAGCATAAGCACAGTTGTGGATTCACTTAATACTATTTCACTTAACGGCTGCTTCACTTAATGACCAAGTTGCAAGTCCCAATTGTGGCTAAACAAGGACTACCTGTGAAACTCAGTAATTTATTTATCAAATTTCTATAATGGCTATTTCAGTGGCCAGTTTACAAATAAAAATCATAAAAATATAGTACAATTTTTTTTGGAGGTGGGCTGAGGTTTTATGGATTTTTATGTTGTGGATTTTTAATGTTGTAAGTCACCTAAACTGTGAATTGGGTGGCCATATAAATGTGTTTAATAAATAAGTGATGTTAAAAACAGAATTAAAACTAAGGTTAAACATTAAAAGTTATAAGGCAGAGAGAGTGCTCTTAAGCCACCAACCAGCCCCAAGATTGTATGACATTCTTCAACCCTCCATGCCAGTTGTCAGAGCCAGGTCTTGAAGTCCTTTGAGATTGTGTGGAGAATGGGGGAAGCCTATTCTATTCTATAGGCTGGGAACAAAAACAGAGAAGTCTGTCTTCCTAGACCGCCTCCCCCCCCCCCCGACAAAATTCTTTAACTGATGGGGTCTGCAACTTATCTTCCTTGTGGGAAGGGTTGGGGTGCATTGATGAAATAAGGATGAGACAATTCCTCATCTTTAATGAGTACAATTATATATTTAAGTAAATGTCAAGTTTGCCAAGTTCAGCTTGGTGCCTCCCAGGCATCCTGCTGTCAAAGGCTAGAAGGGGGGGAGGAAGGATAGATGGGCAATAAAGCTGTGTGTGTATGTGCTGGGAAATAAGGAGGGAGGAATGACAGGTGATAAAGACCAGAGCAGCTCAGAACCAGTTTGTACCAGCATCCAAGGCCAGGCACCCTGAGAAAGTATGTGGATTACCTCAAAACGTCTCAGCTTTCTCAAAACTCTTTGGCAAGTTTCAGACTGGTCACAAGGAGGGCTGGGATGATGGTAAACCTTTATGTATCTTTTGAGAACGGGAAATCCAGAGCTAACCTGACTTTACTGTACCCAACATCTTTTAGTAAAAGAACCTTTTACTTCAACCAAATGGAGTCAAGGGTTTTTCTTTCTTCAATTGGGACAGGTCTGACATTGAACATAAATTTGTCTCCTAGGGGCTTACACGAACAATTATGGCATGATATGGAAGTGGTTTGCCCTTGTATTATTCCTGTTGTTTTTCTTTCAATTAAAGTTTACTTGTCAGATCATCATTTGCTCCAAATCTGGCATCGGTCACCAGCTATAACAATCAGGTATCTGAAGAGATAAATCTAAGATAATATTCCTGTAAGGCAAGGGTGTCAAACTGGCAGCCTGTGGGCCGGATGCGTCATGTGCAGGCCATGCCCACCCCAGCTCCACAAAGGCAAAAATTATCACGATATGTCACGTGACGCGATTGTGTTTGACACCCATGCTGTAAGGTATCCCTTATGCAGTTAAAAGTGTAAGATGTCAGTTGTTGAGATACGTAAATACTAATTAAAATAGTTTTAGATCACAATGATTCCTGCCCTGAGCAACCCTATAATTCTATAACCTATTTTAGTAATTTTCTTCATTATAATTTGGCACTCCAGATGTTCTGTTAAAATTTCAACCAAATATATTATTTTCAAAGCCAGAACCAAGTTCTGGTTTGGTCATAAGTGTGCCACAAGTAGATCTAAATCAGGCCTGATTTTCTTTTTTTAAAGAGTAAATTTACAGCCTTCTTGAAAGCCATACTGATGAGCACCTCCAAGTCTTGCCACCTATAGGAGAGTTCCTGCTCTCATTCTGATTCTTTATGAGATTAATGCTATGCAGGTCTACTATGGCACACAAGAATTTCTAGGCTTGGTGGTTTGTTCTCCAAGCTTCTGAATATTTCATCACCAGGCTAGGTGACATCCTCAGCAGGACTTCGGTTGAAGCGTCTTGTTTCAGTTCTTCATTGCTTTTATTAGTCTTGTGGTCGGTGGGTCATGTGACCTGTCAGCTGGTCATTGTGTGTGAAGGTTACCAAGTGAAGAGATGGTCAGTGCTGTCATTGGTTGGTCGCTCAATTGATATGGCTCCTTATCATAGGCTGGCTCCAAATCAACATGTTTGTTGATAGATCCATTGGTTGAGTACTGGGCTTCGATGAATAGGCATGCATGGCATGTGGTGGCACCAGAGGGCAGGACAAGAAACAATGGTTGGAAACTGACCAAAGAGGATCCAGTTTGTGTCGTGGCATCACAGGCGAGGGAAAAACAGGGCTCCGCTTCCCACAGTTGATTTCTCCCTGTCAGGGCCCCTAAAAGGGTCTAAAGTTACCCCGGAGAGGCAATGAAGAAGGAAAGAACCCCCGTCGATCACGGAAAGATAGCAGTCGATCCGTTTGATCCAAGGAAAGCCCTCTCCTTGTTACGGTACTGCACATCAGGTCAGATCCAGGGATCTCCTGGTGAACGCCTGTTATTCCTTGTTAGCGTACCATGGCGGATAACACCGTTCCACAGGCTTCCACTTCTGGTGGAAATATCAAACGCAAGTCGTCCAACCAAGAAGCACCATCAAAAGCCAAGACAAGGGTCAAAGGGACCTCCAAAACGGCAGAGAAGCAGGCAGACAGCAGACATAGAGCGTTGGAACGATAGTTTTCCAGAGCACAACAACGTGCAACGCAGGTACAATCAGTTCCCACTTCTCTCCCCATTGCATCCACATCCGAGGGGCCAAGCCCTTCTCCCCTTCCACGGGCTTGGTCCCCAGAGCACACTCTTGATTCCTCGCCTGGATTCAGTAGGGATCACCTGTCCCTATTTGACCAAGGCCTGAGGATGCAACTTCAGAACCCCGATCCAACCACCGATCCGGGTTTATCCCATATAGCACCAGATATCCAGGGTGAACCTTCCTTTGTGGCCCCTCCCCAAATTCCGTCGGCATCATTTACACCGACGGCAGCGGGTCTCCGGTCCCCGGAACATCCATCTTTCACCGCCCAGCTTCAGGCTATGATTTCACAGGCGGTGGCTCAAGCAATGGCATCTTCGGGGAGAACCTCTCAGGCCCCAGGGACCTCTTACCCTTCCACATCGGGAGAAACTCCACATCNATTCTGTCTGACACCAAGATCCCAGGGGATATGTCTGAAGCCCTTAAGGCTGAGGACAAGAAATCTGAGATTTCCTTGCGTAGAACTCACCAGGCGTCGGCATTAGCGATACGAGCTTCAACCTCTAATTCCTTTTTTGCCAGGATCTCATTGATTTGGCTCCGTGAGCTTCAGGCCAGGATTTCCCCGGATGACTTGAAGGCCCACCAGGATATCACTAAGTTGAAAGCCGCTCTGGAATATATGGCGGCCGTGTCCCTACAATCGGCCAATTATTCGGCCAGAGCCATAGCCTCCAACGTTGCGGCACGTAGGTTGTTTTGGTTAAAGAATTGGAGGGCTGACACTAAGCATAAATGGCGGGTAGCAGCTGCTCCATATCAGAGTGGTCACCTCTTTGGAGAAGCATTATCTCCTTATTTAATCGAAAACAAGGAGAAAAAGAAGGTGCTTTCTCACCTTTCTAAACGGACGGGCAGACGTTTTACCCCATACAATCGTCGCCCGTCATTTAGGTCTAACGCAGACCGCAATCCCTGGAGTGGGTATCGGCCCTTTCAAGCAGGGCCGGACCGCTCCTCGGACCGGTCCGGCTACAGAGACAGGCCAAAGCCACAATTCCAGGGCAAGCGATCTTTCCGTGGCAGGGGAGGTCGCCCCTTCCGAAAGAACAAGTGACTTGGGGTGGACACCTCCCATAGGCGGAAGGCTGACACTATACTTCCACATATGGGAAAGTACCACCACAGACAACTGGGTTCTTACCACCATCAGAGACGGCTTGTCTCTGGAATTCCTAGCTCCTCCCCCTCGGCGCTTCATAGCCTGCCCCGTATCACGGAATCCCGTGAAGCAAGGCCTCATGAGAGAGGCCATTCAGCATTTGCTCACCATAGAAGCAATAGAACAGGTACCAACAGATCAAAGAGGTTTCGGGTTTTACTCCATCCTCTTCGTGGTTCCCAAGACCTCAGGAGGATGGAGGGCAATACTCGACCTCAAGACCCTCAACTCATTTCTGGTGTACCAAAAATTCAAGATGCAAACCCTCCATTCGATTCTAGGCAGCATCCGACCAGGGGATTTCCTCACGTCCATAGACTTGTCAGAAGCTTACCTCCACATCCCCATAAATCCGGCTCACAGGCGATATCTCAGGTTCACGTATGCGAACCGCCATTATCAGTACATTGGGTTGACCAAACCGGTGAGTGATCTCTCGAAAGAGACGGGGATGCAAGCGCCACTCTGAGTGGTCCACTATAGACCGACTCAAGAAATCTGCCTGGCGGTTGTCCACCCCCGAAATGTCATCAGCCCCCAGGGTCTTTACGAAAATCCTGTCAGTCCTTGCCGCACAACTGAGATTGGTTCCAGTATGGCTCCAGTGTTACTTGGACGATATTCTGATTCTATCGTCCTCGGCACTGAATGCTTGCGTGGACGCCAGGCTAACGATCAGAACACTTCAGGATCATGGGTTCCTGATCAATTTTCAAAAGAGTCACCTATCCCCAACCAACCGGCTATTGCACTTGGGCGCAATCATCGATACCCACCTGGGTCAAGTCTTTCTGTC